CCCCAAAACCCCAAAACCCCAAAACCCCGGAAATTCAAATTAATTTAGTCTCAAAGTTAAAATGAATAATTCTAGAAATGAAAATTTGTCAAGACATCAAGACTTGTCTATTTAGGACATCATTAATTATAATCATAGTAAGGCATTTGCAAAATCTTAATTAACTTTAAAGATATCAACTGCTGCTGTTATTGTTGCATTTTAATTGGCAAATAAGAAAAAGTACATAAATACTTTCGAGATGAATGTAGTGTTTATCCTGTTCTTGGTTACTTTGGCAATCAATAATTTTATTCTGACTACAATATCAATAATCAGGCAAATAAAAAAGCCGCAAGTGCTCCTAACGAAATCTAGTTTTACTGTAAATGACATTAATATAGTAACACAATTTAGTTTTTTTCCATTTCGCTATTAGCCTTATATCCTCTTTTCCACATGTTCATGATAGTTGCTGAATAAGCTTCCTAGCTGAATTATGACTTTGCTTAAAATTGTGAAAATTTAAATTCAACCACCATGCTATATGAATTCTAATATGCCTATGATAAGGGTGAAGGATTACTGTGCTCACAGGATTGTGTTTGCTCTGGAAGTAAGTAAATCAAATTATTTAATATCCCACTTTAGATCCAATCATTTTCGGAATTAATTAAAATGACACATCTATGGCCTATTACAACATGACAAACGGTGTTTACAACGCTCAGCGCTGTGGAAATTATTCATTCAATTTTTCTCCTTTAGTCAGAGATAATTATGTAGGGATATTCAAATAAATTGAAGCTGAAAATGACTGCTCAGGTGCTTGTAAACTAGCTAGCAAATACATATTCTCTAATATTAACGAGTAACTATTAATCATATAACTATTGTTTCTAGTGGAATTCCATAGTAGACTTGTCTATAACATTTGAAGAGAGCGATTTCTAATAATCTTTACATTTATTTATCCGGCATCTCTTTCTTGAACGCTCAGTTTTTTTGTGCTATACTTGCAATGGCAATAACATGCTTAGTAAAGTGCAAGAGAACATATTGTCCAAAAAAGAAAACTTCAAAAAAAGGTAAAAAGTCTGCTAAAAAGCCAAAAGGGAAGATTGAAAAAGGTGAGAAGATAGCTGATACTGATGACTCAATAGAAATGGAAGACAAAGGTCCTAGGTTTGGTAAATTTATTTGATTTTCCTTAATTTCATTGACATTCTAATAATGGGGTTTTGGGGTTTTGGGGTTTTGGGGTTTTGGGG